AGCTATTTTGCAAAACAGACAGGCTTTAACAAAAGGCACAACTCAAAACAGAATTTAAAATATCACCTCGGGAAATGAATGGAAATAAGAGTAAATTCCTCATTAATTACATAAGATGAAATAAAATAAAATTATGATTAGCCATCTGACATAATTGCATCAGCTGATTTCATGGAGTGATGGATGCAAAAGACAATGGCATGTTGTGTCTTTAAGACGTGCATTTGATACAGAAACGTCACTGTTCTCATATTAGTGAAAACCAAACACAAACTATGCAGCTTCCAGTGGTGCTTTATGTGGTCTTAAAAAGAACTAAATTAAAATATAGCAAGTGAGTTCACCACTCACAATTATAAATTTACAGTCTAGAAATCTGAATACTCTGTTTATCCACTGAACAAAGAACCGCAATGAAAAATGTTCGTACATTCCTACTAACATATACTCTTCTTAACTTAGAGGTTCATGTTAAGGGAAGAGAGGGTAATTTTGACTCTGTATCCATTCAGTCTTACAATCAACGACTGTATGGATCTCAGCACAAATTGTACTGGCTGGCCACAGGAAAAAACCTTTTCCTCTAGCTTTTTCCCCATATTGTGTGATCAAAAATGTACACAGGGCTGTGTAAAGACCTCAATACTGTATTTAAATAAAAGCTACAACTTCAGCTCCCACTTCTCCGAGAATAACAGAGCAGAACTTGATCAGATCTTTTTGTTTAACATATTTCAAAGCCTACTGCCCAAGAGCAGCAAGACACAGCCAAGCATCTTCTGCTCATTTAGTGTCAGAGGGATTAAATACTTGTAACGTACAAACCCAGGAAGGTTTAGGGGTGGTCTCAAGGACCACCCACATGTGCATCTTTACGAGTACAAAATGAATAGCAGAAATTATCCCTGGGGGATGTTTGTCAGTCTCCAGAGTCATTATGAAAGAGTTCTACATTTACAGTTACAGTGCTCAGCACTGCTATTTATAGTTACAGACAAAAAAAAAGACTCTTTAAATGTCTTGTTCTCAGTATTCATTTTTAGACTTAAAAGATATTATTCGGATTATGCCTCAAGGTGATTTTTGGTCTTTCACCTAGGTAGGTGGGAGAAAGACAGCTAGAGAGGAAAAAAAAAAAGGAGAAAAAAAGGTCTAAGCTAGGCATCCGCTTAGCTTTAGACATGGTGAAATCCTGGCCCTACTGAGATCTTCACCTCTGACTTCAGTACTGCATGCTCTTAACGTTCAAATACATTTCAGGGGCAGCTTTGTAATGAGTATCCACATATGCTGAAAGTTAATGTGAGACGCAAAGTTACCAGAGAAGGTAAAATAATGAGGGTAACAGCTGAACCTGATGTCTGAGTTTATTAGAGAAAAAGTCCTTGAAAAGGTAACATAAAGGTTAACATAAACCAGGATGAGAAATTCGTATATGATGGCGTTGATCCTGCAAACATTTGGAAAGGGCACACCACTTAGCACAAGTAATGGTGTTTAAGTCAATGATACAATTACAATGTGAAAATAATGCTCAATTTTAAAGTCTCCTGACTTTACTGTACTTGGTATTTCTATGTTAAAACAAGGAATTTTTGTACTCTACCTGACATGTTTTTAAGAAAATTCTAATAGACTAAAATAAAAAATACCTTTGCTGCTAATATTTTTTCCACCTTTTTCTAAGGATGAGATACTTACCATACTTCAAGAGACAATTCCAAAGTCATTTCTGTGACCTAAACAAGAAAAATTTAAATATGGTTACACCACTTCCAAAGGGGAAAAAACCCACAAACACACCTGGAACATAAACTATTACTGTCAGAATTCTTCTTTAAATGGCTTTTTTTTTTAAAAGGAGGACACTTCTGAAATACATGAATGAATTTCTTTTCTACGCAACTTTTTTTTTTTAAAAGCACACAACGTGATTCCCAAATACACCACTAGCACTGCATACAGTAGGAAATGCTGCTCAGTGCTGCTAGGTCCTGACTTTCATTCCTCTGATGCCATTGTCTTGGCTTTCTTCCACTGATAATCACTTTTTGACAGTGCTATTCATCTTTGGCCTGAAGGGATCGAATTGTCTTCACACACTTATGATCCTTTGTTTCTACCGCCAGCCACAGTCTATCTGCCCCTTGGTTCACTGGGTAAACTTCATACCCAACTTGTATCTGAAACAAAGACTTGTAAGGGAATGACTGTCCTGTGCTCCACATGAGCCACCAAGTGTCTTTCCACTGTTAAATACGCTTAAATTGACAATCAGGAAGAGTAAATACTTACAAGTTTCTGAAAGATGCAAATAAATGAATAAATGCCACTGCATAATGATTTTATTTGCAGACCACATAGAACTACCTGACCCGTAAGCTATGGGTTTTGTCTCCTCTACCTCTTTCATTGAGCACTTAAAGGGGCTCCCTGCAGGCAAAAGGTTAAAAGATGCCGGTTAAAGCACCAATTGCATTTGTTAGGCAGAATTCCAGAGTATGAGGTTGCTAGAACTGAGACAGAACAGACAGGCACTATCATCTCCCCGAGCTCTCTCATACGCCATGGCCACCAACACACTGGTACAGCCTTTAGGTGTGTAACAGACTCACACACAGCGTCTTCCTCCTCCTCTGTGGTATGTGATCACTACGAAGGGAGCTAGAGCAGCTCAGACTGAACATCTGCTTGACGCTTATAGAGCAGTTAAGGACATGGAAGTGCAAAGCTGCCTCTGGCCTCCCACGTCCCACGTATCTGCCGGCGGGCCAGGTAAAACTTGGCACTTCGCTCCTGCCCTCTGAAACGGGAATTGTAAATGAGGTGGCGTATTCACAGGGCGGTGGGAGAAAGGAAAGGGAAAGATATAACAAAGGGAGAGCATGAAGAAACAGAGAGAAGAGTCATTTATGGAAATACTTCAAAGACAGGGTAGTAATTACATTATTCCAGCACCTGATATTACTAATTTAGAAAGCACTTCAGAAACCACACAGTGATCCAATGCTTGAAAAAAATGCACACACACGGTATTAAATAAAACCTTGAAGTGAAACGTTCCTATAGGGAAATAGCATGCCATTTTCTATACCTTATACAGACTGCCACAGAAATCCCAGGAATACACGTGGTGTATATAAATCATCTACACTGGGCTCAACCTGACCTGATGTTCTCTTACCATTTGCTTATAAATTCCAGAGTGCATTTGGCTTTTTTCACTGCTTTTTTCCCCCTATGTACTCCACCAGGTTTTGCTGAGTGCTGATGAGAAGTTAAAGTGTATCTGTAATGTAGCAAGGCCTTATATTATTGGCATGAGCTTTGTAAACTGTTTTCAAAATATATTCATGAGCTCTTTCTCACTACCTCACCTTGGGCCTGGAATAATTAGGCATCTGCAGTCAGCCCAAACTCTGGAAGCCCAAGTTACTGAAGCACTTAGTGAAATAAATATGCAGAAACTTCAAAAAAATGCAGATACTTTAAAAAGAAAAAAAATGAGACTATCAAAATTCCAGCTGCCCTAAGGCTATGCCTAATTAAATGCTAAATCTTCCATATGAAACTCTCTGATTTCCAATAAATAGGACTGTTACCACACTTTTAAAGTTATATCACATGGAAAACAGCAGAGCAGTCACAAATTAAGACCTCTGATCATATAATAAACCACAGCCCAAAACAGAAATGCAGACAGTATTTATACATATAGCATATGCATACAATATATATACATACAAAGATAAAAAGATGTGATGGATATAGCTACAAGTATTGAATTATATTCAGAATGGCTTGTGATGTGTTACTCTAATAAATGACGATATTCTGATACGTGCAGAACAAGCTCAATTACACACAGATTTAACAAAAATTTCCAGGAGTTACCGTGCAGGCAGACCACCCCTGTTAAACTGACTCCATCTGTTTCGAATACGTGTTTAAAGAGAATAATCCAATTGGGACTTGCCTTTTTTTTTTAAAGTGTGCACATTAATGCATTATTGCATGGTAACTAGGGCTGGGTTACAACAAGCCAGGTATTGAAAGTGAAACATATAATAATAAAAGAATTTACATCTCATAACATCCTCGTCAGCAAGCTCAGGCAGTGTGGGTTGGGTGAGGGATCAGTGAGGTGG